TAAGTGCGTGATTTCATTCAGCCAGAAAGTCGCCTTTGTCTGTATGAGGACCAGATTGAGCTAATTGGTAATGGAGATGCTTTATCACTGTGAGCTAAATTAGGCATCAGTTTTACTGCCCAATATTCATATTTATTCATGAGTATCACATTGGTGTGAACAAGCACTCCCATTTCTCGTACTAGTGCATGCTCCGGCCAATAAAAAGAGTAGTTTGAGTGTAACTTTGTAAAATGTGATTTAAGCCGGCTTAAAATGTCCTGCGTTTAAATCCCATGGGGCAAATTTGTACAGAAAACTCTTACTAAACTTTCCTCTCAAAATTTGCGAATTTACTTACAACATATATAACTAAACGTCAAATGATTTTGGAATAGTCTTAACGATTAAAGCGATTGCCCCAAATTATTGAAGATTAAATAAATTTGTCACAGATTTCATTATTTTGCAATTTTAAAGCTGTTTGGTTGCCATAAGTAGTCTTATGTCATAAATAACTTATAATCAATATACGGGCTCATTAGAATATATAAATGCTGTCAATAACACTTACAGTATTGCTCCGGCATTACATTTATGATATTTTTCACTTCAGCCTTGAGTCGTCACGAAACGAGACCATATTTTGCTTGCATAATTGGCACATAAGCAAAAAACGATTTGGATCGGATATTATTATCTATCAAAATTAGGCCAAAGGCGAGAAATGCTTTATAAACGAATGTAAGGGGATTTGTCGAGCAATCTAGAATCTCTCCAAATTTTGACTGTACCCTGTCAGTGATAATCTTATTAGCATATCATCTTAGCATTACTGCTTTTTATGCATTTTCTTAGCAGGTGTATTTTATATAATCGCCACCTGGCTATATTGCAATGCCCGCTACTTGCGTAATTGGAAAATAATTAAATGTGTCCCCAAGTTCGTCTAATCACGCAAACGACCTTCAGTAATTATGCTCAAATAGCTTAAATATAAGTCTGGGTGGCGTTTTAGCAGATAAAATGCGAAAGGTTTGCAAATTATCAGTTATTGCTTCTAATTTTTTATTAGAATATTGGTAAATATTTTGAGGCCTTCTAATAGCTCTTTCGTCACTAATTACAAAGCGGACTATTAAGGAAATAGCTTTACTCTCAAAGACTGACTAGCATAAGATAAATAATCTTAGCAATAATCGGTGTAGCTCTTCTAAATAAATGCTGTTTTCCATATTCTTTCACTCTTTTTATTGAAATAAGGAGATATAGTATTGGTAATGCATATCTTAGAGGGTATTGGCCTAATAGACGAAGATTCTGCCCAGTCGGAGGATCTTGGTTAGCGTCTTTACTAAAGAACCTGGGTCTATACCGAGCAATATGTTGGTATTTTCTCCCTAAATATGCCAAAGGAGGAGGTTTCGTGGTTCAAATTAAGAGCCGAAGTCGAGTTTTGCCAAAGCATGGAAGGTTCTGCGATAGGAGCCAAAAATGCAATATTTTCTACATAAGGGAAGAGTTTTCATCAGTAAAACTATTAACTTGTGTGTTGCTCAACTATCCCAAATCTAATCAACCAGAAGGTCCGATATGGACCTTGGCTTTAGTATGCAAAACCTACCTTTAGAATTCTATCTTGATAATGTATTATTTAACCGGTTGGAAACTAAATCTAACAGGTCATGAATGCTAAATAGTGGGTCTACATGCATTTCATCAGGTGTGCTTATTGTATATTTAGAATTTGGATATATAAATATAAGTATAAATAAATAAATATAGTATAGTATATAGTCAGATGCTGAGCAAAAGATGAAAATATGACTGCCGTTTTAGATATAAATATTTTTGACTTGATAATATTACTCAAATTTGAGCCGAGTATTAAGATGGCACTCTGGATAAATAAGTTCTGGAGTATGTTAGGGTATTGATGAAAATTCCGCAACACGTTAATCAACTTGTTTGTTTTGGTAAACTCGCTGACTGGAACTGAGAAACATTCATTGGAAAGTGGATAGCAAAAGCATTTGAGAACAATTATGAGCAGTTTTAGGAAATTATTTCCAAATAATCGTGAAATATTACCAAAATACCTAATTGTAAAACAAAGCATGAATTAGGATGGTAACCATGAATGGCTATTAAAAGAGGCAAAGTTTAAAAAAGTGTATTTATTTTCATGAAAGCATCATGGCTCACAATACAGCTAGATAAATATATGGATGTTTTACTGGAGCACGTGGATAAAGTAGGGTTATTGCGACATCATGTAGATGAAAGGAGATAAAATGACAACTAAGCGCAATTATCAACAATAATTAATAGTCTCATAAAAAACAATTTTCACTTAAAAGCTCACAAGATGAGATAGATAGTGTTTAAACTAATAATGGGAAATAAAAAAATTGTGAGGATAAAATGTTAAGGAACGGAGAAAAGGGTCAATCTACCATAACAAATTGCCTGAAGATATACAATTATGAGGTAAATAAATGCTTAAGTATGAGTCCATTATGGAATAACTAGAATCTCACCTAAACTTTCTGATCAATTTGCCTTTGAAAAACGTTTCTTCCCTATCCTTGGGACCAAGAGCAGATACATAAAAAAGCGCACACGAAGTTGAATTAAGTGGAAAAACATAATACGTTGTAAAATGGAAAAAATAAGGAGATTTTTCTGGATGCTTTTTGTTTATATTGAATTGCACACAGTCTTCCTATCTAAAATGTATTCTGATCCCGACTAGAATGTAATGTAGATTCCGCCTCACCTAGATCTCCTGTATGAGATTACAATTTGAAAAGGAAGTTTTTGTGATATGTATTAGAAAAGTAGAGTAAACTAGAAGGATCTGATGAATGTATGGCATATATATACTCAATTTCTCAGTTGTCTGCACAAACTTTCAACTATTCACTAAGTCTCTGCAGGATCTTTCACGAAAGGTTTGCATGTTTCTGAGTCATTTAAATGAACCATCATTTTTTTATATAGCTTAACCTATCCGTGATAACCATTTCACCATATTTATCTGCCTTCAAAACAAACTGATTATTTTGTTTAAAATATCAAGGATTCTTATTAAAGTCATAAGATCTCTTTGGAATAATTACCTGGTCAAAATGTGAAATCACTTCTCTTTCGACACTATTCTTAGCCTATTCAGGCAGCTTGTCTGCCAAGTTAATTACTTCAAACAGTATTTCCTTAAAATTATTTTACTCATTTATAAAAGCAAAGTTGATACTGCTTTCCAAGAGGAGACTAATATTATACCCTAAACGTATACTGGATAAATTAATGACACAGGACCTTGCCACTAACAGTCAAATGCTAAATAAATCATCATCATTTATCAGAATTCTAAGAAACAATCCTCGAGTAAATATGCCACGTGTATATATACCCAATAG